TTTTTGGGTCAGTGGGATAGAATATTCAAAATGAGGGTTGTCTTGGGAAATCTATATAAAAAGGAATAGGATCTCATTCCTTCTTTATGGATTATATTATGACTCTTCTCCCTCCCCATCTTCTTGTTCACATCCAAAAGTATCTTTGGTGTGGGAGTGCAGAACACTGTGTGTCCCACTCACTAGCAAGTCTGAGCAAGAACCATCCTATATTTGGTGCTGCACCTGAAACGTCCTGGGGACTGAGAATTATTTTGTTAGAAGTCACATCAGTGCTGTCCCAAGGCCAAGAGCCATTTGGGTGCCTTCCTGGAGTAACTCAGTAGTACCTCCTGGCTTGATGTTGGGCTTGCAGGCTGAAGGGGTTGAAACAGATGGGAAATTGGGCGTTGGAAGGGGAGGGGTGTAAACCAGTTTAAAAAATAAAGCATTTAACCCCTGACATAGCTATTCCCAAATGGCCTTTTCTTGGCTTTCCTCTCTTAGAGCTCTGTACCATTTGATAATTTGATCAGCTCCTGCTGCTTGAAACTCTTGACCTTGGCTTTTGTGAGACTGTACTCCTTGGTATTCTAATTATGTGCTGACAGCTCCATTTCGTTTTTGTTCCTCTGGATCCTCTTCTTGTCCTTACCTCCCATTGTCGCTGTTTCTCTAGGTTTCTGGCCTTCTTTCTAAGCACTTTCTTTCGGGGCAAATTCCTTGGTTTCCATGATTTCTTCTGGGCCGTTGACTCTTAAACCTGGATAACCACTTCCTCTAACCTCTCTTGATCTCTAAATGTACCTGTATGTCCTGCTGGCCCCCACCTTCAGCACGTTAAAGACAATATTTGTCATCTTTCTTCCCCTCCCAAACCAGCATTTTCTTGTAACTTACCCTCATGCTTTAATGATCACATTTAGGATTGAACCCCCACACACACCAAATCAGTTTTGACCTTCTCATTTTCCTCAAATTAGGTTTAACCTTCAAAGAGACTCCAGCTCACCTTTTCAGCCGTCCTTCCACCCCCAACTGCCCTTCACCAGCCCTTTCCAAACTTCACTACGTTTGCCATCAAATCCCGCATAGTCCTCACCTCTGAGACTTTATTTAATGTCATTCATCTGCCTCAAATGCCCTTCCTGTTTGCTTCTCTAATCTGTTACAATACTACTCATTCTTTTTTTAAAAATATGTTTTTATTGATCTTTTTAGAGAGAGAGGAAGGGAGAGCGAGAAACATTGATGTGAGAGAGAAACATCGATCGGCTGCCTCCTGCACGCGTCTCACTGGGGATGGAGCCCACAACTTGGGCATGTACCCTGACTGGGAATCTAACCAGGACCTCTCAGTCCATGGGACGACACTCAGTCCACTGAGCCACACCGGCTGGGCAGTCCTACTCATTCTTTCAAGCCTATCTTTAGTGCTCCTGAACACTCTTCTAGAGCCCAGTAGCCACATATGACCCTTCCTTCCTCTGAAGTCTTGAACTAGGCACTGGACACCAGCGCTCTGCTCACCCTGTCTATGACTCTGCCTGTAAGGCAGGTAACTGTACTTTTTTGCATACCAATTACATGTTAAAAGTTTCATTTTGGTTTGTTTCTTAGGCTTCTTGACTGTTCCTCACCTCCCTTTGTCATTGCTACTTTCCAAAGTAGCAAAGCCCAGAATTGAAGCTAGGTTTGCCTGCCCTTACCCACCTTTGCATACTGCTTGAAGGGCATTCACTGTTGGTACTGGAAGGGCCTTTGATCATCAGGTAAGGACTATGGCTGAATCACAGTAAGCAAATCATTGATTGAGCGTTGGATGATAAATGGATGAGCAGAGAAAAGTGCATATTTGTGAAAAAATTGCAGCAAGTTAAAAATCAATCCTGTACACAAAAAGGAGATTTAAAATCCATTTCCAGCCTCAACTTAGTTTACTTTTAAAAGAACTCAGCGGATGGGGGGAGGAGCATCACCTCATTCCTGCTTGTATCTGTGACTAGAGAGTACAGGAGCCCCACCTAGCAGCTCCGGGATTAATCCTCCTCTCATTATATGCAGACACATCTATCAACTCTTGGTTCAGTGTTGTATACCTCATGAAGTAAGTGGGGGTAGAGATTTATTCCCATTTAATAGGTGAAGAAACTGAAACCCAGAGTCAGCATAATTTATTAGAGCAAAAACTCTTTAGCCAGACTGTGCCAGCATTTTAATTATGGTTTCAATACTTATTAGCTGTGTAAATTTGGGCAAATTATTTAAACCCTCTGAGCTTTAGTTTTCTCATCTGTAAGATTGTCATGATATTAGTCTCTCCTCAAAGGGTTGCCGTGTGGCTTAAATGAGTTAATGTGTGTGTAAAGTGCTTAGAATAGTGCCTGACATATATCAAGTACTTTATATCAGCTAATTTCATCACCATTATTATACCTTTGGCAAGTAGTAGAGTGAGGTCTTCAATCCAGGTGTTCTTTCTCTACCTTCTCTATCTATGGTGTTATGTTGGGGCAAAAATAGGTCCAGGAAGTGGGCCATCTGGTGACCATAGGCAAGTCATGTCTGCTGGAGTATACCTGATTTATAAAACGAGGGCTGAAGGGTGCTGGTTTTTGAAGTGTTGTGTAGTACTGGCTACCATTGATTCCAAGGAGGCCTTGACATCAGGCTTGCCAGTTGGTTTGTCGTCACTGGGTGCTGAATTGGCTGGTCCAGGGCATAGCTGGGTTGTCTGACCTGAGGACCCAAACAGGTCAGATGGACTAAAGGGGTATAAGAGTGAGGCAGCTACTCCTGGGAGAAGCCAAGCATGGAGTCCCCAGTAAGAAAAGTCTACTGTAGAAAGAGCGTAGGGAGTGGAATCAGCCAGTCCTGGGCCTAGGGGTCCTCAAACAACATCACAGATAGCATCCTGAGCAGGGGTTGGTAATTGATGCCAATATATCCTTTTGACCCTTGATAAAGAGCCAAGAATATAGCTTTAAACCATGAGCCCTCATGGTGCCGTGAGTTGGTGTTGTATGTGATTATTGAGCTCTAGCAACACTCAGTTGGGACCCACCTTTGGCAGGAGAGGGGAGACTTCTCTATGAAGATTTATTTTATTGAGGCCAGTGACCAGCAATTCTTCTCCACTGATGCTAGAACAAGAAGAAATTGACTTGTAGTATTTAATTGGAAAAAAGCAAGTTTAACATAAAAATAATTCTCCTCACAGGCAGGAACATCCTTAAAGGTGGCCATTCAACTCTTTTTACTTGGGTTCTTTAAGAATAGGAGCCATCTGGTTTATGATATAATGGATGGAGTTCTATGAATTCAGTATAGCTAATTAGTAGACATTGTTAGTCCAGTGTGATGGGTTATAAGACTCCATAATTTATTAGTTGTGTGGTTGGCCAGAAGACCAGGCCACCTCTCTGAACCTGTTTCCTCATCTTTAAATATGGGTGAGAGTGAGACCCACTCATTCCTGAAGGATCCAGTGATGCAGTAGATGTGAGAACACTTTGTAAAGCATGAAGTACTTGAAAGGTGGTGTTATAAAATGTCCTATTGGAAATCTCTTTTATGCCCATGCTGAGGAGCTCCCCTTAGACCTTACCTTCTCTGGAAGCACAATGGCTAGAAACCAGAACAATGAAGGATGCCCCAGGCAGGAGCTGACCAACAGTGGTTGACCAATGTGTGATGTGTTATGCATTAGCCTCATGACCATAGGGTTATTATCTGGCTGTTATGTTGGAAGGCAGACCTGTGATACAGGATGTATGTTCCATATCCTTTGTCTGTTGTCTTTGAACTATTTTGTCACTGGTCTTGTGGAGCCATGTTGCCTTGGGGAACCAGTCCTTCCTCAAAGCTGTCTGATGGAAAAGGTGACTTCTAAAGGATATGTTCAGAAATTCAGTGCTGGGAAGAGAGCACTTGAGTCCTTTGCCTGACGGGCCATATGTTCTCAATTCTGGAATCTGTTTCTGCAAATGCCAGGAAGACTCATGGCCCGTACTGGCAGGAAGCAGTTGTGGAATAAAGAGAACAAATAACACAGTGGTCAGGATGGTGGCCAGAAAGAGGCAGACTGATTCCCTACCCCAGCCTCATCACTGTGCTTAGATGAGTGTTGTGAATATGAACATGTATGTGTTCATGTAGCAGAGAGATAGATGCCTGCCTGCTGCTGCTGTGTGGAGCCCAGTCCAGGTGGCCATAAAGTTTAATGACCAGGATTAGGGTCTGTGCACAACCTCAGCCTTTCTGGGTGACCCTGAGCTCACCCCTTAACGTCCCTGTGGCTCAATTTTGCCAACGATCAAATGTAGAGATTAACCTACACCTCCCTATGTATCTCACAGGGTGCTTGTGCAAATCACTGACTGAATCTGTGCCAAGGTTGAGTTTCTTTGCAGCAAGTCATCACAGAAAGCCATATTTTTTCATATTCATGACCTCTCTGGATGGTATCATGTGTGGGTGGTAACAGGAGGCTGCAGGACTGGGGTCCATTGTGTGTGAGGAATTCCATAGTCTGTAACCTCTGGGGGTGGGGTGCAGTGGTGTTAAAAATATACCACTAACTCTCAGTTGGTCAGTTACAGTGAAGAGGAGGAAAGGGAGAGAATTTAGAGCAAATATGCTCGAGCCTCATTTTAGCCATTGATTTCAGCCTCTCTACCCGTTCCAGACCTTTGGCTGCCTTGAAGCACCAAGAAGAGATGGTCTGGTGCTTTCCTTCTTCACTGGGGGAGGAGGTCATGAGTAGGGATAAAAGCCCGAGGCCTATGCAGTCCATATTCACATTCTGGGTCATTCCACGCACTGGCTAATGTAGAGTTGACAGTATTGTTTGCCTTGCAGTCTGGTGACGCTTGCGCTTACAGTGCCATCTCTCTTTCCCTCACCCTTCACCACTAGTGTGTGACTTTTTCCATAAAGTAGTAGAGCTCTGTGGGCGGGGGAAGGGGCAAGTAAGATAGCCCGCTGTGTGGACTGAAAACATTCTCATTTTGTCTCCTAAGCTGATCACTGGAGATTCCATCGTTAGTGCTGAGGCAGTATGGGATCACGTCACCATGGCCAACCGGGAGTTGGCATTTAAGGCTGGCGACGTCATCAAAGTCTTGGATGCTTCCAACAAGGATTGGTGGTGGGGCCAGATCGACGATGAGGAGGGATGGTTTCCTGCCAGCTTTGTGAGGGTGAGTGTCAGCCTTCACTCTCCTCTTCTGTCTCCTTGGCTGCCTACCCCAGCTTCCCCTCACCAGCCCCCGTTCTCCTTATCATGTATCTCCTGGTGGCTCCTCTCACAGTTGACTTCATTTCGTGCTCTCCTATCCAAGACCGAAGCTTCCTTTAATTTTTTCCCCTTCTAATTTTGAGACTTTTCATTTTTTTCTTGTTTCTTTTAACAATCCCCACCTCCTGCCTCCTGTCTTCTACCTGCTGTGACTTTCTACAAATCCCTTTCCTTTTGACCTTGATGGTGTTTGAAGACCTTTTTAACTCTATATTGCTGTGAACTTCACCTTTCTTGGCTCTCTTCTTTTCTGCTTTCTTTTTTGTTCTTGTCTCGTCTTTTCCATTCTTTCTTTTTATAGATTTCTCCCCCACTTCTGTTTTCCTCCTCACTCCTTTGTTCTTCCTTTCTCTCATTTAGGGAAGTGTGAACACACCTGTGTGTTGTCTCAAGCTTGTCAGTCAGCTGTTAATGTGAGAGCGTGGGCTCCCTGTTCTCTCAGGGGCTATAGTTTACTGATTGGAGCCTAATTTTTTTTTTTGCAAGAGACTCAAGTGTCTGGGATCTAAGATGTGCTGTGGGTGGGAAGCAAGCAGCCTGATAGGGCTTGCGAAACCTTGGCCCGTTTTACATTGTACCATGTGGAGCTTGACCCTTACCAAAAGGGGCTATTGAGAGAGGGCTCCTTTGCAGTTTCTGCTTCCTCTGGGTCACCAATTAGTGAGATGCTATGGGGGAAGAGCATGGCCTGGTGTCCCAGCTTTTGACCATCCTTAAGGGTTAAGAGCTATAATTAGGTTTTTGGCAATTGAGAGCGCTGATTTTCCTCATCCCCAAAATGGTTGGCAATTCTTTCATGCCAGGAGATGTTACAGTGAATGAGAGAAAAAAAAAGCTTTTTTTCTTTAAAAAAAAAAGCTTTGTACCAATATGTACCAGTGGCAATCCAAGTACCAATGCTATTTCAGGGTGTCTTATCATTATCCTTACCACAGCCTATCACCTTTTGTGAGTTCCTTCTGTAAAATAAGGCTGAAGTCCTGACCCAAACCAAAGATCAGAGTGGCTTTGGCCCTTGGAGGATGAAGGGTCTTGAGATTAGAATGATGACAGTATGGCATGAGGGAAGGAGCAGGGCATTTGGAATCAGACAACCAAGATGCAGTTTCAGTTTTATTAACTTTTAGCTCAATGGCTTTTGGTAAAACTTTTCACTTGTCTAAGCCCAAATGTCCTCATCTTAATAATAGGAAGAGCAGACTTACAAGGATTAAATAAAATCACATATGTGAGTAAAGTATCTAGCACAGTGCTTGGTGCATAGCAGGTAACTGGCAAATGCTAACTTGCTTTATCATCATCATCATCACCACCAACACCACCTTATTAAATCCAGAAAGGTCTATATATCAAGGCTGGCCATATTGATTGAAAGAAGTCTCCTTCTTTGGAGGGTGCAAACCCAGGAAACACTGTCAACTGGTTGGAACAACTTAGGTAAGGGCACTGGTCAGAAGTGGAAAGGTGGCCACACTGACCTCTTATCCCCTCTGTCCTGAGAATCTCTCAATGAAATATCCAATTCTTTTTTCCTCTATGTATGTGGCATCTTTCACCAGTCTTCAAATGCCATCTGTTTCCCAGCCCAGCTTTGCTGGTTGATGAATTGTTCCCAGGGGTAGTCAGAAAGAGCACATCAATAACCATGGGCCTTTGGAACTAGCATGAGGCCCTGTACAGAGACAGCTTGGGTGTCTTGGACTGACAGTTCCCCCTCTTTAAAACTGCACCCAGTGACAATGTCACCCAAATCCAAATGTATTTCACTTTCAGTGGAATGTCATTTTTATAATAAGCAGTAAATCAAGGGATGGAACAAAATGATTGAGCAAAACAGAATGGCTTGGTGAAGCAAATGGCAGAGCCAGGCTTTAGAATGTAAATGAGCTGGCATTGATGCTCCTACATCCAAGGCCAGGAGGAGTGTTCCTCCATGCACACAGCCGGAGCAGCCACTTGGGTGGGCTGATGCTGATGTTTAAGAACACCACTGGCTGGCCCAGGCATGCATGATATGGAGTCTAGCCTATTGGTTCTCAACTGCACAATGAAATTTTTCACTTGAGTAGCTTAAAAAACACCCAAACACTAAAAGCCAGGTTCCAGGCTGGTCAAATCCGAATCTTTGATATTGAGAACCATTGGTCTAGACAAGCACAGCCCGATGTTGGAAGACACAAATGCAGGCCACACATATAATTAAACTTTTTCTACTGGCCACACTAAAAAAAAAAAAGGTAAAAGTGAAATTAATTTTAATACATTTTATTTAATCCAATATAGTCAAAATATTATAATATATAATATATATTATCACTGTAAAATGATTAATACTATATTTTAATTTTTTTTTTTTTTTTATCCTCACCAGAGGACATTTTTCCATTTTTTGTTCAGGTAGAGTAGGAGGGAGAGAGAGGAACAGAGAGAGAGAGAGAAACATCGACGTGAAAGGAACACATCGAGTGGCTGCCACCCGCACGACCGACCAGGGCCGGGGACAAACTGCAACCGAGGTACGCGCCCTTAGCGGGAACCGAACCGGGGTCTCTCAGGACCGCAGGCCGACGCTCTAACCGCTGAGCCAAACCGACCAAGGCTAATACTATATTTTACTAAGTCTTTGAAATCTGGTGAATATTCTATACTTACAGCAAATGCCAATTCACAGTAGTCACATTTCAGTTGTTTGTTAGCTGTATATGGCTAACTGCTGTTACATCAGACAGCATAAGGCTAGACTGAGGACCACATTAGTAGATCAAGATTGTTCATGGCAGAGCCTAAATCATAACTTAGAGCTTCACTATTCTGTCTCCTATACACATGTTTATTCTTTGAGGAACTAAGCATTCCATGCTGCCTCAGATTGTATTCAGAATGAGAATTCTGTTCATATAAAACTGTTTTAATGCTCGAATGGTCTTCAGATTTCTAGATGGAAGTACCACGGAACCTAGGAGCCAGCTGTTATGGTGTTTCCAGTAAAAGGAAATTGGGATAGGCTGTTGTTGCATGAATGATGTAACTGTTGGCTCCAAGGTAGACCTTTCAGTTCTCATGAATGAGTATTTATGTGTACGTTTACAGTTCTGGTAACATCATATGGTACTCAAGGGATTAAATGATGGAGGTTATGGATGCTCTTTTCTAGTAGATATTTTAAAATAAAATTGTTATCTTCGTTCCTCTACATCAGTGATTTTCAACCTTTTTCATCTCATAGTGCACATAAACTAATTACTAAAATTCTGCGACACACCAAAAAATAAATTTTTCTTTTTTGCTGATCTGACAAAAAAATAGGTATAATTTTGATTCAGTCACATGGGACAGCTATTGTTGTGTTGGCTGTTGTCATATTTTTATTTGACAGTCTAAAGGAAAAGAGGTCAGTGTCACCTGACTAAATAGATAGGTATTGTTTAAAAATTTTTTGCAGCACATCAGTGTGCCTGCCATGGCACTCCAGTTGAAAATTGCTGTTCTACATTGATTTCAGTTGAGGGTAGAATGGGATTGTGGAAACAGTGCTAACTGTATTAGGAAATGAGATTCCTGAGTTCTAGTCTTGGGTCTTCCACATATTTGGTATACGATCATGGGCTTTTAATTTTCTCCTTCATTTCTAAAACATTCTCTAAAATCTATTCAAGTTCCGACATATCTAGGTGGGATATAGAGATAAATCACACTGAACTATTGAATCTTCATTAGTATTGATGTAGTTAGTAGGCAGATGGGCCATTTTCTGGGATGCTATACCTCCATGTTATAGGGTAGTTGCTTGGTTTATCCAGACTGACCCTGAGCTGAGATTCCGTAGCTCCTAGAAAACATCAATGCTAGATTATTTGGCATATAACATGAGAGTAGGTAGCAAAGAAAAGACTTTCACCTAACTCCGTACCAACTGGACACCTTTGTAGATCATTGTAGTCACTAATGTAGCAAGGCATCTTCATTCCCTACCTGGAAGTCTCATTGCTGTGTGAGCATCCCAGTCTTAGAACGATAATCAAGGGTGCTTAATGAGGTACTGCCCAAGTTAGCCCTACCTATGTTAATCAGATTAAATACAACCTAGATTCTGAGAAACTCAGATTCTTGCCTCAGTTCTGCTATTAGATGTGCAGCTTGAGTAGCTTCCTGTGCATCTTTGAAGCTCAATTTTCCTCCTTGCAAAATGGGGATAATTGAGTCTTGTGAAAATCCTTTGTAACCTGTGATATGCTCGATACCTGTAGAAAGGAAGTGTGATACCATATTGGCTATTGTGCAAGAAATTGCTGGGTACATGTGTCTTCTACCCAGTGAAATATTTGCCTTCCCTGTTGTTCAGAATTTTATTCTATATGTGTATAACATGTATATCTGTGTGTTCTCCCTTCTGTACTAGGGACATGTCTTCACAACACCAATGCAGGAGTTGATGTACCTTCCCAGCAGTTGGTCAGGTTAAGTGACTTACTGCTTACTGAACATCAGTCCCTTTATCAGCGGTTGACTTCTTCAGCTGCTTTCCTGGATTGTTCTCCCTCCCTGGAAGCTGAGAGCAGACTGTTGGGATGTTATTGTGTCTCTAAGTAGTAAGTCTCACCCCTGTAGTGGGACCTCCTTTTGAATGCTAGGCCCTAACTCTAAATTATTCAGGTACTTTTCCTTTGTCACTGTGTAAAAAGGGGCCTTTGTTCTGACTTTGGGCTATGGTCTGGGGAGGGCTTGCTGTCTACTTTGAAGCTAGCTGTGTACAGAACACATGACATTCCTTTTATTGTTAGTGGTAGGCAAGGCCTCATGACAAGGCATGGGTTTGGTCAGAGAGTAAAGAACCTGCTCAGGTTCCATCAGCATATATAGTCTTTGTTTCCTCAAATTCTAGATTTCTCTGGTTTTAGGCCT